TGGACCACAGCCACGTGTCGCTCAGACAGAATAAAAAAACCGTTATGTCATCATTTTTTGTGACGTTGGATTAGAGCTGCGTGACGCAGCTGACAGTGCCGTCACACGCCTGATTAGCTGCGTGACGCAACTTTGACCTAACCAGAAACTTAAAATCGGTTTAATTTAAATCCTTGGATTAAAAGACTTCTAGATAGCATTAACCCTTCATTCTGCATCCTCATCTCCATCGAATCAGGCGGGGGTATAAAGACACGCGTCAACATACATAAATAGAAAATCAAAAATCAAAATGAAGAAGACAAATAAAAGAAGAATTGGAGCATGAATGGACATGGAAATGCTAAAAGAGAAATCAACTGCCAAAAATAAAAAGAAAGTCATTAAATCACTTACTTGACTAAGTAGAGAAATCTCCAAATTTCCATAATCACCAAAATTTCCTTGAAAATAATCACCAAATATCAATTCCAAAGCTTAAATCTTCAAGATTAATCACTTACTTAAGGTTTAATGGAGTGAAAATGGTGTGTTTAGTAAGTAGGAATTGAAGAAAAACAAAGAGAAGGAGAGGAAGAAGAGGACGTCTAAGAGAGGAGAAAAGAAGAAAAAGAAAAATTGTTGCTCAAGTGATAAACATTGACTTTTATACTCAATAAGGGCATTTTAGTCATTTTCCACCACTTCCTTAAGAAGTGATATTTTGGAGGTTAAGATTAAGTTAATGGTACTCTAATCTAATGGCTAAAAATATTCTCCAATTAAATTCCTTCTTGTTTTCCCCCCGGAGAAAAATCACGGTTCTATTGTTTTGATGTGCATTTATTCTGGAGAAGCGGTGATAAAAACTTTTTTTGGATACGCGATGCCGATAAATCGGTCTTATAAATCATTTTTAGTCGCCACCCATTTTTTCGGCAATGGGACCGTTTCCATTTTTTTATTTTAAAAAAGTGACTCTCATTTGAACCCATTTTATTCCAGGCTTTTATATTTAAAAAAACTGGTCAAATGAACCAATGAGATTCTAAGTAGGGAATTAGGTACATCGGCCCGTTGGAAGCGACCGCCGGGAAAACCGACCTCCTTCTTAAACCTACATTTCTAATTTGATTTTATTTTAGAAAAAAGCCGAATTGTTTAAACCCACCCGAATTAAATCCAACCGAGTTCCTATGTGGAAAATTACTTAAGCGTCCCAATTTAGAATTCATTCATTGGCAGTTCTCACAAGATCAAATCATATTCATCCAGCATCCATCCTATAATACATTATCCAAATAAAGTAAAAGACCGCTCTTGACCTTATTGGTTAAAGGCGGGGCCACAAACGAGCTCTTAGTTAATGTAATTAAATAAACGATAAGAAATAAAATCTTTAACTTAAAAATCTGATAATCATCAATAATTAGTTGACTTTGCTTGATTAAAACTTAATCTGCCCATGATTGATCATTTCCTGGATTAGGATTAAGATCTACTTAATGACATGGAGTTAAAATAAAATAACAAAAGTAAATTGAAACTGGGAGACAGTCGCGTCACACAGCTGTCCTACGAAGAATAGGTGCGTGACGCAACTCTTGTCTCTTATTCTGGAACTCGTAACAGTTGCGTCACGCAGCTACTCTATGAAGAACAGTCGCGTGACGGAACTCTAGTTATGATTCTGTAGACTAGAACAGTCGCGTCACGCAGCTGTTCTATGAAGAACAGTCACAGTCGCGTGACGAAACTTCTAGCTACGTGGCGAGCTGTTCATTAGCTGTTCATAGTTTATTTAAAACACTCAGGCATATTGATTATTTATTTACAATGAAACACTAAACAGAGTATAAAAACAAAATAAAACTGAGTACGCGAACAGCTGTGTCACACAGGTGGTCTAACCCAAAATAAAGGATTTTGGACACGAACAGTCGCGTCACGCAGCTACTTGCGTCACGCAAGTAGTAGCTGCGTGACGCGGCTGCTTTGGTTCGCAACTACCTTTCAAACCTTCCCTTTTTTACGTGTTCTTTTTGTTTAAAGTGATTAAAACCAACCCAAAAGAGTTCAACAATGGGCAAACTTCTTATCAATAACAGTTCAAACTAAAAACATTGAACAAATGAGATTTTAAAGAGATTAGAATACTTAAAAACGAAAAAGAAAAGTTTAGAATCGTTACCTAGCCCTCAGATTGTTACCTAGCCCTCAGATTTGAGGATTGCATACGCTGATATTGATTTTAGAGATAATGTTTCACAATCCCAGGAGCACAATCGTCAAGTTCTTTCATGAAAATAAAATTGTTTTCCTCCCTTTTCCTCTTTTTTTATCTTTTTTTTTTGTATTATCTTTCTTTGATCTTAAATCTAAATATCTATGACTTGATCTACCTCAAGTTTACTCACTGGAGTTCTTGAGAAAGAGCTTTAGTCGTTTTTTAGATATCTAAACTTAGAAAGTTGTATTTCTTAGAGGAAAATGAGAGCAAAATGTCAAAAGTGTTCCCGTTTTTGCTGATAAAATGTTTGTATTGTATATGGCTAGAGGCAACAGAGCAGTTGCGTCACGCGGTAGAAGCTGCCGTGACACAACCCGTAAAAACCTGCGTGACGCGAGCTTACTTTTGCGTACAGTTGCCGCGTATCCATACCAAACAGTGCAGGGCCGTTGCACGGGCGGCGCGCCAAGGTGTCAGTCCTGTTAGCAGCTGCGTGACGCCAGCTAAGTGTGCCGTCCCGCAGGTCACTAGCTGCGTGACGCAGCCCTAACACGGGTCAGGCTCCTTTGGGCAGTTTGATTCAATTTTTGCGTCAAACACATTGGTTTATTGTGAAACCTTATCCTTTGTCCTATAATCAAATTCAATTCGGGTTCAGGTGGAGGCCATAAAATAACGCGTCAAAACCACTTTCTAAGATATTATTTATCTCTACAAAATTCTAAAATTACTCCATAAAAAATAATTTCTCAAATTTCCTATAATTATAAAAACACCAATAATTCACTTTTCACTAATTATCTAAATTCTCCATATAAATTCATTAACTTATTTTCTACCATAAAAAAACCATGTATGCATGCCTCCAAAAATATTAAATAAAATATAAAACATAATAGTAATTTTTCTGGACCAAAATAATATCCATAAAAACCATGTATGCATGCTCCAAAAATATTAAATAAAATATAAAACATAAATAGTAATTTTTCTGGACCAAAATAATATCGATTCCCGGACCAGTGGTACTAGTCATAGACTGGTAAACTACTATTTCAGAAACAGAAAAATAGGGTGTTACCTGAAGCCTGCCTATTTGGGTTAGAAGCTCAGATTGTAGTTAAAGCTGAAGAAGTTGAGGTTGTTGGTGATCTGAAACTGGTTATCGAGCATGCTAACGGCAATTGGGAAGTTAAAGAAGACAGATTGAAGCCATATATTGACCATTTGCACGTTGTTGTTCAAAACTTAAAGAAGGTGACCTTCACACTTACAAGCAGAGTAAACAACCGAGTACCAGATGCCTTGGCTAACTTAGCATTAGGTTGGGAAGAGATTTCTATAATGCCTAAGAAACCGTTTACGATGTCTTCGAGTAGCATCCCGTGTTATGAAGGCGAAAAGATTCTGGATATTGAGGAGGAAGAGAAGCCATGGTTTATGATGTCCTGCAATGCATGACTACGAGGGTATACCCAAATTTAGCTGCTAGAGATGACAAAAGAGTTATACAGTGTTTGACATTACAATTTGCAATCTCAGATGGTCAATTGTACAAAAGAATGTCAGACGGGGTATTGTTAAGCTGCGTATCAAAGAAGGAAGCCAAAAGGGTTATGAAACAGATCCATGCAGGGGTTTACGGCACCAACATGAATGAAAAAATGCTTGCTAAGAAAATTCTCAGACATGGATTCTTCTGGTCGATAATGGAAGAGGATTGTATTTCTTTTGTGAAAAGGTGCTTTGAATGCCAAATTCATAGAGACATGAGTCACATTCCACCCTCAGAATTACATCCTTCTATTTCACCATGGCCATTTAGCTTGGGGAATAGATATCATATGGCAAGATTTCACCACCTGCTTCTAATGGACACGAGTTTATAGTGGTTGCAGTGGACTATTTCTCAAGATGGGATGAAGCAGAATCATTTAAAAATATAGGCGCCAAGCAAATGGCCAAATTTATTGAAAAGAACCTGATCTGTAGATATGAAATCCCCCATCATGTTATGAAAGACAATGGAGTTTAGTTCCAAGCAAAAGTGAAAATGCTATTAGAGAAATATGGAATCGAACACCACAAGTCTTCACCTTACGGACTATAAGCCAATAGGTTAGTGGAAGCCGCAAACAAAACCATCATGAAGATATTAAGGAAGATGGTAGAAAATCACTGTGATTGGGCTAGCAAGCTACAATATGCTTTGTGAGGATACCGGACGATAGCCAAATTTGCAAACGGGGCAACCCTTTACACTCTAGTCTATGTATGGAAGCTGTACTACCTACTGAGACAAAAATGCAGTCCTTGCGCATGATGATGGAGTCAAAGATTCCAGAAATCAATGGACAGAAAATCACTATCAAGAATTAGCACTCTTAGATGGAAAAAGGCTTAATGCTTGCTTTATGGACCAATTGTATAAAAGGAGGATAGCTAAGCACTTCAACAAGAGAGTTCATTCAAAGCTACTTAGAGTAGAGGATTTGGTTCTGAAACAGATTCAACCAAACACTCATGACCCAAGGGGAAAGTTTAAGCCTAACTGAGAGGGGCCGTTCCTGGTCAAGAAGATGTTTTCCAAAGGTGGAGTGAAGCTATCAGACATGAAAGACAATGAGTTTACTGAACCAGTCAACTTGGATAGGCTAAAGAAATTTTATGTATGACTTGAAACGTTCATGGCAAAGCCCAATTAATGAATTCACCTTTTGTGTTCTTATTAACTTTAAAGCTTGTTATGATAAGTTTATGTCAATATACAAAATGTAGTGAATTTACTCTGGTGAAATAAAATAGCACGAACTATATCAAGCATTTTAAGCAGAAAGAAATTTCATTCATAATAAGTGAATACATTACATAAATTGCACATTGTTTAGTACATTTCATTAGAAATAAGGACAAAGCATCTACATGCTAGTTCCTAACAGAAATCTAGCTGTCAATAGATCAGCCGATTCTTAATCAACACCGACTTTGGAATAAGCCTGCAGCCAAGTGCGGTACAAGTCTGAGGAAGAGGTATCGGCCACATCAAAAATGGGTATAGTCGTGGGATTAGGCCAAGTGGGAATAAAACGAGATAGAAACTGCTGTGTAAGAAGGCCACCCTTGAACCGTGTGTAATTAGGGATAGCCTGATGACGACCATACTGCCTAGCTATACGGCGAGGATAATAAGCAAGTGCCATAGACAATCCACACGGGGGCTCATAGAGTATGTAAGAGGAAACTGTGGCTCGCTTTATGTGCCACTAAGGGCAAGTCCATCTAACTCCTTCAGAGGTAAGATCTTGAAAAATATCAGTCCAGTCTTCCATAGTGTCGCCAATCAATCGATGCTGACATCGGATATAGACTCGAGGTCTATAATTGAACATCAAATGGTCCGGTGGTGGAGCAATCACCTGTAGCTTCTCAAAAGCCCATAATTGCAAATGCATTCAAAAAAAAAAGAGAAATATAAAAAAAGATAAAAGATAAAAGCTCGTTAAGAAGAAAAGCCTCAAGGGCGCCTTAAGCAAAAGTTAAAGCACAAAAATAGATAATAAGTAATGATAAAAAAGGAGAAAAGTTCGTTAAGCCAAAAACCCACAAGGGCGGCTTAAGCAAAGTTAAAGCAAAAAATAAAAAATAAAAAAGGAGAATGCATTTACTTGCAGTAGAAGCAGACTCCATATTGGACCGAGCACAGAGCTAGAGTCCCGAGCATACTCTCCTAGCCAAGTAAATGTGTCTACCAGAATAAGTGGAAAATGGGTGCGTCGCCTAGCCATATGCTCAACTATGGGCATCAGCCTAAGGCTACCATAGCCTTCATTTCAATGCTACTAAGCAGCAAATACTGACTAAGGAGGCACAAGCAGACAAGAAAAGGCCAAAATAGGCTAGTGCGGTCCATACTCATTGCATGTTCTACAAGCGGTCGCAGGGGCACAACATCAACTCTAAAGTCATAAGACTGTATCTCATAAGCCGAGAAACTAAAGACAAGCAATGTTAATAAAGCAGGGTCTATGTCCAGCCGGGGCATCATAGGAATTTCTTCAATCACAGATATTCTCCCAAAAATGATGCTGAGTTCTTCAAATAATAAATAGATCTTGAATTCGTTATGCCGAAATAAGTTGGTCGAAGGATCAAAGTGGTTGATTAACCACTACAGCAACCCAGGTTGGACCCAGATATTCCGATAGTAACTCACCACATTAAGTTTGAATGGTGATGGCAAATCCCAATCCTCATGGTTAAGACTGTAGAATAATGCTTCAAATGCAGGTGCTAAGGACTGATCCATTAAGAATGTGGAATAAATGAGAAGTTTGTGGAAGTTTTTGAGTGAGAGCTTCATCTGGAAAAGAGAGACAAGCTTTTGTAAAGTGAACAAGTTTTCTGGGCTTTTATAGCAAAAGAATAAGAAGACAAAGTGACAGATGGCTGCCACTATAACTCTAGCGGTGCACACCACTGGACAGCAGTCAACTGTAGAATATGTTGCTTTATTGTTTTTACTTCTCAATAAAAAGCAATATAATTATCGGCTATGAAGCACAAATACTTCGATATCACTCAGAGACATGGAAAGAAAATGGCTCTTGGCCTTTATACAATAATAGAATAATCATTCTTTACAAAACAAATTGTTCTCCAAACTGGGTCCAAGCACAAAAAGGACAGAAATTGAAAAGGAGAAAGCTGGGGTAGGCTCAAGACATGTTGGATTCGGTCTCCTCTGAGTCCTCACTACCGAACTCCTCTGACTCATCAATAATAACTGGCTAGCTTCCAGCTCCTCAACCAGCATGACCACCACGCTGAGCTCCCCGACCTCGACCTGCTGGAGGCACCATGCTAACTCTCTACACACATTCATAGATATTAGTAGTTGCATTGCATGCATACATGGCATATGCATTGCATATTTTCTTTTGTGGCTATTTATACTTACAGAGACGTGCTCATCGGAGAGCCTCGCCATAGTAAGCTTGAGGCGTGTCGCCTCGTACAGTTGGCTCACCTCATTATAGTCAGTAATGGAAACCTAGAGAGTGGAGTAGGGGTAGACAATAAGAAAATAAAATAATAAGGAGCAATAAGTAGAATAGAAGAACAAAGATCACCCACATGGGTGCAACTAGGTGGAGACATCCGATACGAACTCACCAAATGCGTCTCCAGCATGCCCTGAGCGGGTTGACCTATGAAGTCCAAGATTAAAGAAAAGGATGCACCCGGTCCATGCTCAAGCTTGTCGACTACGACAACTATATCTACAACCCTCGAGTTAGAGCTTCCTCTCACGCGCTTGCCATGCTGTTGCTGCTGCTGCTGCAAGAATAAAACACATATAGTGAATAAATGCAAAACAGATATTAGAGAAAAGACGAGGATAGAATATCAAGAGTCGATGAAGTTCACTTGTACTGGGGCATCGTCATGTCCCCTATCTAACTCCTCCGCTTCTACAAATGGATCAAATTCAGCGAGAGAAGGGAGATGGACTAGGATCTAAGTCCGTACAAAGATGGCATAAGCATCCGGCACAAAAGTAGCTAAATGGTCTGTAGTAGCCAGCCCCCTCTGAGCAGCCGCAACATCTGCTCTAACCGGATAGATATGGTGGAAAGCATGTATTACGGCACATCATGAGGCACTATCCTTCGGTTTGGGCCTAGCTCCCATTCACACACCCTCTCACCGAGGTAATACATGTCGTAGAATAAACCAGGAAGGAAAAGCCACCTCTACTGGTACACAATGGCAGCCTGAATGAAATTAGGGTAATCAACTACATCGCCCCATGGTTGCTTCATTATCTAAAAAAAAAAAAAAAAAAAAAAAAAAAAAAAAAAAAAAAAAAAAAAAAAAAAATGAATGAAATTAGGGTAATCAACTACATCGCCCCAGTGGTTGCTTCATTATTCTAAAAAAAAAAAAAAAAAAAAAAAAAAAAAAAAAAAAAAAAAAAAAGAAGCAAAAAAAGCGAAAGAAACAAAAAAAAAAAAGAAAAGAAAAATGAGAAGAAAAGAAAATAGAGAAAAAGAAAAAGATCAGAAATAATGTGATGTTGCACACTTACCCATTCTCAAGTTAGGCCGTTCAAGAGTTGTCAAAACACTGAGATTTTCGATGTTGTGTATGCATACTTTCAGCTGAACTTCCATGCTCGGACTCAAGGGAGGGATGTCGCGCTAGTGTCAGCATCGAAACCATGTAACCTCGACATAGGGAGGACACGGTGCTCACAAGCCCAGATCTGTACAGCAAATAAGACATGAGACACGGTGCTCACAAGCCCAGATCTGTACAGCAAATAAGACATGAATAAATAAGGTAGAAAGAATAAAAGCATGAAAGAAATAAAATAGTCAAGAAAAATAACTCAATGGCTCACTGATAGCCAACCTTCAAGTGCGCTCTGCGGACACACAATTCTATGCCATAATACAGATATGACAAGGTGGTAGTACCCCAGTTAAATTGCCTAGTCATATCTAAGTCCTGCAGTGGGGGTAGAAGCGCTAAATTTGCGTGTTACCATGATTTGTTAAGAATGCAGTTGACTACAGGTAAAATAAAAAAGCTCGGGCTAACACATCCACGTCCATTTCAGCTACACGATCCTGGGGCATGGCCTCATAATGGGAGATGATGCTCTCATACCATACTCTCTTATTGAAAATGGTAGGCTCCATGCCTAATGCAGCTCGAAGACTCTCTCACAAACTCTGTCGATCCAGATTCCTCAGCTGGTCATCAAATACGACAGACTGTCCTCCGAAAGGTAGTCGAGTAATGGCAACAAAATCCACCGTCGTGATCATCATCTCATCAAAGGGTAGATGGAAAGTGTGGGTAGTATCCATCCACCCCTCCATAAGCGCCATAATGCTAGCCGGGACTATCCAGCCCTGGATCTGAGGGAGTGTGTCAATGAAACGGCCAAATCTTACCTCCCAACCCAATACTGGACTTGAGGAAGTAGCCGATCAAACCACTCGCCAGCTGCATATATGTTACCGTCCGATCCATGAACCGCTCAAGGGCTGCTGGATGCTTTTCTAGTGTTTTCGTCATGACAATCATATCGTCAATAGACACCTCTAACTCCTTATGGATCATGTCATGAAACAATGCAGTTGCCATTCTTTTGTAAGTAGCCCCTATTTTCTTTAAGCCAAACAGCATATCCGATAGCAGAACGTACCAAACTCCGTCACAAATGTTGTCTTGCCTTTATCTAATAATGCCATGATAATCTGGTTATACCCTGCAAACACATCCATAATAGAGTAGTCCCATCATCACTACACTGTCGATCAAAATATTAATATGAGGGAGAGTAAAACCACCTTCGGTGATGCTTTGTTCAGATCCCTGTAGTCTACACGCATTCTAAACGTTCCATCTTTCTTAGGAACTGGGACTATGTTTGTAAACCATTCTAGATAGTGAACCACTTTAAGAAAACCTTCATCTATCTATTTTGTCACTTCCTCTTTAATTTTCTCGGCCCATTATAGTCTTAACCTTCTTCTCTTCTGCTTCACTAGCGTGGCTTCAGAATACAGAGGAATTTTGTGCTCAGCTATAGAACTATCTATCCCTGGCATGTCTTCATAACTCCATACGAAGGCTTCCCCATGAGTAGACTTTGAAATTTTGTGCTTAACTCTAGTTTTAGGTTTGGTCCAATTAATGCCAATATTAAATTCAAGCATGCATGATGAGTTATGTCGAATTTGTGCATGTGCTTATCTACTTGATGAATGGAAACATCAGGAAAGACATCAAACAAGTAAGCAAAATTGAAGTTTATTTCATTAAATAGCATAAAAAGTTCATTACAGTCAAACTCATCACTAATAGAAATCAACACATTAGAAGGAACTTCAGCTTCTTCAAAGCCCTCTTCTATGCAGGCCCGGATCGCTTGTAACACATGATCGGTCCTCTTCTTCTTTCGCGCTCACCTTCACTTTATTCTATTCTTCCTTCCTTTCGTCCTAGGCAACTTGCCCCTCTTCTGGTTTTCTTTCTTTCCTCCTCGGCCGCTTGTGTCTCCTCAACCCCCTCTTTCTCGAGTGACTTCTCTTCTTCTTTCTATTCTTTCTCTTCCTCAAGCTTCTTCGGCTTAACTCCCAAAATATCATTAACATCTGCAAATATCTTTAGACTATGGTATGTCTTTCCATTGTATTGAAAAGGCTCTATCAGCAGACATAAAGAGGAATACTCACTCGAACGGATGATTCGTCCAGCCATGTCCAACTAGTCATATGTTCTCTTTGGCGTGCTTCCAAATTTATATCCTAAGCGTAGTCGGTCCCTTTAAGTGTGGATCTAAGGTAGCTCTATGATGCCTTATTGGTTCTTTCTAAGTCCTTTTCCTTCCTCATAATTCATCCTCTTCGTGATGTTGGAGAGAGTGGGCCTATAATATAAATTCAAAATGTAATTAGGCAAGTTAAGCTAATCTCCTTTTTAAGAAAATTTATTTTTTTATTTTATTATTTAATAAAATATTCTTTTTTTCTTGTTTTGTTAATGCTCTTTATAACAAAAAAAATTAATAAAAAATTATATTTACTTACAACGAGTAAAAATCAACGAGTTTAATAATGTGCAACGAATGTTTGAGAAAATAAGTCATTTTAAAATGAGTAAATTTGAATTTTTTAAAAAAGAAATCAACTAAACCAAAATTATATATAAACTGAATTGAGTTAAAATGAATTTAGTTCTTTATTTTTAACGACTTTTAGGAATTAAACCAAAATTTTCCTCTATAAAAAACCGAAATAAAACCTAAGAACTTAAGGATCAAATTGCTCATTTCAATTGTATTTTATCGAAATTATATAAGGCTTTATAAAAAAATTTGTAACAACATTTCAAAAATAAAAGAATTTATAACACTTCGTTAAAAGCATACATGACGTTTTTAAATTAAAGTTTGAGATTTAACAAATGGCACTGTATAAATGACTTTACAAAAGCCTTAAAGTTCCCATTGACTCGCCACCAAAACCTACAAACCCAAAAATCAATTTATCTTCAAAAGCTAGTTTTTTAAATAACTTATTTCCATTGGTTATAAAAATATTCGTAGTTAAAATTTATTACTTTCCTTATCTCAAAATATAAATCATTTAAAATTTTTACATAAAGATTAAGCAATTGATCCTCCAAAATAATAACAAATCTAAAGCTAAATTAACTAAATTAACCTCTCAAAATCAATAGTCACTTGTGAATTATTGTATCTAATATAAATAAAGATAATATTAAAAAAAAAAAAATCATTTCTTATTCCTTAAAATACTGAAAACAACTTATAATGGTACAAAATAATCATCCAAAAACGATTTATATTTTGAAACAGACGCAGTATTAGCATATGAAAAAATAAAAAATAATAATTGAAATAGTGATCAATGACTAATGATAGAAATCAACGGTGATCAATGACCAATGTTAATTAGAGTTGGTCAAAATGAATATTTTCCCCTTAAAGATATATTCTCTTTAAAAATGAATTATTTTTACTTTTGATAATAGAAAATATTTTATACTGATTAATTTTCCTGAAAGCTTCAAATAATTTCCAAAACCAAAATTAATTGTTTTTAATGCAAGATATATAAAAACCTGACGCCCATAGTTTAAAACAAAGTTCAAGGTCAACCCACTGAGAAGTTGTCAAGGAGTACACTTTTGGTTGATTGACTTCAGTCAGACCAATTAATCACCAACGTGAGACCAGTTTGCTTTCGCACAAAACAAAATTAACTAATATAATGAGCAGGAATAAGACAATTATTACAACAGACCAAGGCACCGCTTATTCGTTCATGTCTTTGAGATAGAACGCACTTACAAGCACGAGCTGTAAAAATTTTCCACTCATTATCTCTACTTACAACTCTCCACCCGCTAAAACTACTACGAGTGTCATAAGCTCGATAGTCTGTTGAAAGCAAACCTTGGATATTACTTTCTGTTCATGTTTCCTAAGCAAACGTATTTGAGCTGCACACCATTGAAGAATTTGATAAGAACGAGAGAGAGAGGGTGAGAGAGAAATACTTCACTGTTTATTGTAGGCCCAGTACATAAATCAACACTCCAACTTTTAAAAGAAAAACTGTGGTATCTTTAACTTTTACATTGGCTTTTTTCGACAAGGAAAATTGTATTTGTTCAATGTTTTAACTTGTAGAATTGCATATATTATATATAATTCAAACTTTTCAATCATTCGATATATGTTAAATAAAACACTATTCTTTATACCGTTTCTAACACAAATTATTAAATAATCATTTTTACATTTTTCAACAATTCAATAAATATTCAGCAAGTACAATTTTATCAATTCAAATGCGTTGACTTATATGTTCTTATTTTACATTATTTATTTCCTTTATTGTAATGTTCCTATATAGTTTTAGGGTTATGTGTATATATACACCTAGATGTAAATCAAAAATATATAAGAAATAGAGAAGGAATTTCTCCCAAAAACTTAATCGCTGATAATTCAACATGGTATCAAAGTCTCGCCAACATTCTTTGGCATTTTTTTTTTAGCAACCCTGAATTAGATCTGAAAAAACATTTAAGTCAGTTGAGACATTTTCTGGTAACCCCTATAGGAGAGAGAACCGCCCATCTGAGAAGAAAGCCTAGTCGTCGATCGACCTTCCTCCTCAATCCTGCGACCGTCCGGCAAAGCGCTTGTGCTCACGCGCCTGAAGAAGTCCTGATGTCTCTTTCACCCGTCCATGCATGACACTATTTTTTGGCGATGTTTCTCGTCACTTTTCACTCTGGTCGGATCGCCCTGTTCTGGAGACTCCATCTTGGCCAATTTTGGCATGTGACAGCTCTAGCGACTTTTTTTCGGCTATTCTTTGCCCAATTTGGTTCGGGTCTTTTTTTTTTATTATTTTCTTGGTGTTCCGATTGTGGTTCTAATTGTTGCTATTTTTTCGACTACTATTTCTACTTCTTTACCATTATTTAATAATGGGTGATGGTATTAAAATCATGGACACATGCTGGAAATTGCGTGGATGACCGACTATTTGGTTGTGTTTGTTTTGTTCATCATAGGCATGGAGGCAAGTTAGAACCTAGAGCTTTGAAATGTGTATTTGTTGGTTATTCTGCCACTCAAAAGGATTATAAATGTTATTATCCTCCAATCCAAAAATACTTTGTGAGTATGGATGTGACTATTATCCTCCCTCCAAAAATACTTTGTGAGTTATGGATGGACCTTTAAGGAGAGTCTGGAGCCTTCATTTTCTCCCCGGCTCCTCTTCAGGGAGATTAGGATTAGCAAGAGGGAACCTCCTTTAGCTCCTATGTTTGGTATTCTGTTCCTAACAACAATTTTTTGAATCTTAACAACTAGTAATGAACATGAACCAAATCCTCTTCAGGGGGAGATTAGGATAGAAGAGGAAGCTCCTTTAGCTCCTATGTTTGTATCTGTTCCTAAACAATTTTTGAATCTTAACACTAGTAATGAACATGAACCAAAACATGGTAGACTTGATAGACCAAATTTAACGAGGTATAGTCAAAGAGAGAAGACTAGTACCATTATGCATGATACACCTTGTCAATTGTCGTCTCTGCGATCAGCTCTTGAAAAACCACCTGGTGAGTCTTCTATAACTCCTGGTTCTAATTCTGATGCAATTTCTTCTGTTAATATTCCTGACTCTGAACATTTCATTCATGATTTTGATCTTCCCATTGATCTCAGAAAATGGGTTAGAACTTGCACCAAACATGCTATATCCCAATATGTTTCTTATGACTCTTTATCTCCTTCCTACAAAGCCTTTGTGTTGTCTGTCGACAGGAAGCATATCAAGATCCAAAATGGAAAGCAGCAATGGTGGAGGAGATGAAAGCTTTGGCAAATAATGGAACTTGGGAATTTGTTACCCCTTCATTAGGAAAAAAAACCAGTAGGGTGCAAATAGGTGTTCACAGTAAAACATGAGGCAGATGGCACAATTGAAAGGTATAAAGCCGGATTGGTGGCCAAGGGATTTACTCAAACTACGGGGTAGACTATCAGGAGACTTTTGCTCCAATTGCAAAGATGAACACTATTAGAGTCTTATTGTCCTGTGCAGTCAACTTGGATTGGAGCATGCATCAATTTGATGTGAAAAATGTTTTTTTGCATAGTGATCTAGAAGAAGAGGTGTACATGGATATTCCTCTAAGCTTTGATGATGAGAAGACCAAAGGTAAGATTTGCAAATTGAAGAAAGCATTGTATGGGCTGAAGCAGTCACCTAGAGCATGGTTTGATAGATTCAGTAAGGCTATAATTTCATTTGGCTATTCTCAAAGTAATGTTGATCATCCCTTGTTCATCAAAACTGTAATGGTAAGATCAATTTACTAATTGTCTATATTGATGATATGGTTGTAACTAGAGATAGTGAGGACAAGATTGCTCGATTAAAAAAGTTGTTGGCTCAGAAGTTTGAGATTAAGGACTAAGGAGGTCTGAGATACTTTTTGGGCATATAAGTTGCTAGATCAAATAAAGGGATCTTTCTCTGTAAGAGGAAACATATTCTGGATCTCTTGAAGAAACTGACATGTTGGGTTGTAAACCGATTGACTCTCCATTTGAAATCACAAGTTACAAGCAGGAATGGGAGAACATGTTGACTTGGGTCAATATCAAGGATTGGTTGGCAGATTAATTTATCTCTTACGTACTAGACCTAATATAACATATGTTATAAGTCTAGTTAGTCAATATATGCATGATCCTCGCAGTTCTCATCTTGAAGCTGTCTTTCGCATTTTAAGATATCTAAAGTCTACTGCTAGAAGAGGTCTACTTTTCTCTAAGCATGGCCATCTCAAAACTGAAGCCTTTACTGATGCTAACTGGGCTGGATCTCCAAATCATAGGAGATCAACTTCTGATTATTGTACCTTTGTTGGAGGAAACCTAGTTACTTGGAGAAGGAAAAAGTAGACTGTAGTAGAACGTTCGAGTGTAAAAGCGGAATATAGAGCTATGGCTCAAGGAGTTTGCGAACTATTATGGGTAAGGAAGATAAAGGAAGAATTGCGGATGTTGAAAGGAGAAGATTCGACTTTGTTTTGTAATAACAAGGCCACAATTAGTATTGCTCAAAATCCAGTTCAACATGACCAAACAAAGAACATAGCGATTGATAGACATTTCATAATAGAAAAAGTCATCTAAGGTGTTTTGAAGCTTACTCATGTGACTTCGGATAATCAAATCGCAGATGTTCTTACTAAAGGGCTTAATAACAAACAATTCCATAACTTGATTTCCAAGTTGGTCATGTGCAATATCTATGCACCAACTTGAGATTCCATGTGACTTGCGCGACTAACTTCCAATCGCAGATGTTCTCTACTAAGAGGCGTCTAATAACAAAGCCAATTCCATAAACACTTGTATTTCCACAGTTGCGTCTCATGTGCAACATTCTTAGGGCGCACCTAACTTACTCATGTGACTTCGGATAATCAAATCGCAGATGTTCTTACTAAAGGGCTTAATAACAAACAATTCCATAACTTGATTTCCAAGTTGGTCATGTGCAATATCTATGCACCAACTTGAGAGAGAGTGTTGACTTATATGTTCTTATTTTATATGATTTATTTCCTTTATTATAATTTTCCTATATAGTTGTAGGCTTATGTGTATATATACACCTAATGTAAATAAAAAAAATATAAGAAATAGAGAGGGAATTTCTCCCAAAAACTTAATCTCTAATAATTCAACAAAATGTCTAATAAGTGCAATTTTATAATTTCAAATGTTCAATACAACTTGAAGAATTTAGCACACCAACATAAAACTTGAATTGCCACTAAATTTTTCTTGTAAAGTTTGATGTCAATTTATGCATTTGTCTGTCCGTTCTATTTTTTCTATTTCCTTTTTACATGCAAGGTTGAGAGCATAAACAATGTTTTTGGTAACGCTTACCTCAAGATATTCATCCATCCCGTACTTGGAGCCTTCTCGTCCTAGACCAGACTGTTTTACTCCTCCAAATGGAGCCACCTGCATTGCAGTAGAACATTTTTAATATGCCAATCTATAATTATTACTATGTTAACCAATAGAAGAATTAAGGATGCCACTCGCCTCTGTTGAAATAAGTCCTTCATTTACGCCAACAAGTCCATATTCAAGTGCTTCAGTGACACGCCAAGTACGTTGAATATTGTTTGTGAAGATATATGCTGCTAATCCTACATCATCATCATGAATAAAATACTCCATATAATCAAATGTCATAGCAAACCAGTTTCAATTGGCCCATTCAACTTCTAAATTAAAAAAAATCAAATCTTATCCCCATTAAGTTCTAGATAGTGACTAGTAGTCTTATTAATTAACTTTCTGCGTTTTTCTTCTTTCATCATTAAATAAGCTGTTAATAATTTATTGAATTGTAATGATACAAAGTATTATTCCCTTTGTTAAAACATAGCTACAATAAACTTCCCCACTACGTTTATAGACATTCATGCCTCTGTTACAAAGAATTAGTAACACAAACCATGAGGATGATTCTATAAAGCTTTATACCTCTCTGATGGATAGAAATCTAAGCTATACTCACAAATTCAGGACAAATAAAGTCAAGGAAGCCTTGAAACATAAGGTCAGGAAAACATGTGGCCTAAATGGTGTCTTTACAAAAGTCGGTCTCGGTGAAGTAGGAGTTTCTTGGTTAACCGTGTAATTTAATTCTTTCCCATGGAATAGACAGATTCCAAAGGAATGGAGAAAGAGCAGTGATACTAATATATAAAAACAAGGGAGATATCTAAAGTTGTACAAACTACTGCAGTATCAAACTTATGAGTCCTAGAATGGAACTCTAGAAAAGAGTAATGGAAGATAAAACTATGAAATTTGACAAAAGTTTCAGAGAACCAGTTCAGTTTTATGCTAGGCAGATCCGCAACAAGGGCTATTTTCAAAAATTGATGAGAAATTTATAGGGAAAACAAACAATTGTTTTCAATTTGTAATCAAAAATGAAATATCTATCGCAAATAATAATTACCTTCTGGGTCCAAGTTTAAATATAGGTTAATCATAGATAAGTATCTCATGATGGAGTTCTCTGCTATATGTTATATTAAAAAATTATTGTAAAAAAGTATAATATTCATATTATCTTCTCGTAAAATAAAATATTCAATCACAAACTAAGAAAGTGATAGGTTTAAATTCCATACGCATGGTAAAAAACTATTTATGCATATTTTTTATATGATTGGGAGATTAGAAAAACCTGCATTGGTGTTATTAGCAACATGGATGGCTTCCTCCTCAGTTTTGAAGCGCAATAGAGGTGCCACAGGTCCAAATACTTCCTCTCTGAGGCAAGGCAAAAGAGTGCATATTAACAATTTTTTAACTGATTGTTTTCCACCCCCGAAAAAATCAAAATAATCTAACATATTCATTACGACATGTTCAACCAAGAAATGCATTGAACTATGTCCCACCAAAATGAGATGAAAAGAAAGCCCTCTAAGAAGATAGGATAATGCCAAAGCACAAAACATAATTGAGATCCTTTAAAAACCTAATATATAACATATAAATAATTAATGCTTCAAGCAAGTACTGAATTACAAGAAATTTTGACAAATCCCAGGTGAAATTCTCAATCTCACATGAATCAAAAACAAAATTAGGCATGCCACAGTCCATCTTCATTAGATTAAAATTCTGCTTGAAATAATATTTCCTACTGGATTGAAATTGTTGTAGTTATTCTTGGATGGTAAAATAACAAGAATGTTAGAAAACATATGAATCCCAAGTGGATTGAAATTGTTGTAGTTATTCTTGGATGGTAAAATAACAAGAATGTTAGAAAACATATGAATCCCAAGTGGATTGAAATTGTTGTAGTTATTCTTGGATGGTAAAATAACAAGAATGTTAGAAAACATATGAATCCCAAGTGGATTGAAATTGTTGTAGTTATTCTTGGATGGTAAAATAACAAGAATGTTAGAAAACATATGAATCCCAAGTGGATTGAAATTGTTGTAGTTATTCTTGGATGGTAAAATAACAAGAATGTTAGAAAAAATTTTAATGGATAAAGGAAAGGAAGCAAAATTTTGCAGTACGGCTGAAGAGAGGAATGTGGGAAAGCAAATGCATGTGCAGTTCATTCTGACAAATGTAAATTCCAGTCAACTTTAAAACCTGCAAGTCTGAAACCAAGTTATTATTTTGGTTTTGGTCTTTATACTATACACGAGGAAGAGATAAATGTCAAGTAATGTAACAGCATTCTTAAATAAATCTGTATCAACAAAGTGAATTTAGGTGAAAGTTTTTTTCCGATAGTGTGGATACCAGCCAATTTAAAAAATACAATCAAGTTATTACTATGGTTCACTCTTCTTAAACATAAATGTGAGCAAACAATGGAAAGTGAAACATCAAAGGATTTAAAATGATTGCAAAGCAACAAATCTACCATTGAGCTATAGCTCATTGGTTTTAAGAACCCTTATAAAGCACACTTAGAATGTTATGTCATTTTGGGACAATAATTATTGGCTTTGGTTTAAATTTAAAAGTTGAATAATTGTTCCATGCGATAGCAATTCTAGAATCTCAAGTCTTGACGGAAGTTTTAAATTTGTAATAATTTATTATCTACGATACAAAAAATTTTTTTGAGACATGAATAGTTATTCCAATCCATGAACTAGCTATTGTATTCCTTTCCTATTCTATTCTGCAAATCACAAGAGCACTTAAGATTCAGATGATGCCTCACAGTATTATAATAGCATAAGAAAATAAGGGAAAAAAGGGAGGAAAACAAGCACCAAGCTTTTCAAAACAAATCATTACAGTTCCATTCTCAATGCTCAGAAAAAAACAGGTAGTATAGGTGTTGATAAGATTTAATTAATACTACTGCTACTAGGATTAAGACTCCCAAATTAGGAAAAATAAATATGTACTTATTAGAGCAAAAAGGAAACCAAATTTTCCTTAAAACGAACACCAAAAAATATATCTAATTATCCTTCTCATTAATATATATAGATTGTAACAATTTGCTAGGATGACACACCAATGCCAAACTCAACAATGGCAACTAAGTACGAGACTGTTGCAGGACTTAACCGAACACCTTATACCATGAGCTGACACAGCCATGCACCACCCATGCCTGCGTTCTCCAATCAGGAGACATTTCGGCTTATATTCCTACTAATGTAATTTCCATTACAGACGGACAAATGTTCTCATCAGCCAATCTATTCAATGCTGGAATCAGACCCATGATTAAGTGGGTATTTCCAATGATTATACAATTCATCAGAGGAGAGCTTTCCTGTGTGAAGTATCCACAAATATGGACAAGGCAATATGCAGCCCTAAAAAGTATACAGCATGGATGGCTTCACAAGAAAATTTGACAAGCAATCACTTTGAGGGAGAGAAGGGGGAAGGGGTAACAAGATTAAGATCTGCAGATCTAGATAAATAAGTAGTAAACAAATAGCATAAATTTATGTGCACTAAGAATCTAGCATACAGAACAGCATAATGGAATAAGACAAACCTTTGCGATAGCATCTTGAACAAATGATTCAACCTGTAACGCAAAATTACAAGGACCAAATGATACAGAAGATCATTAGAAAAAGTGGATGATGACAAATACATAAGTGTATGTATGTAAGTCTATATACATATATAAGCAAAACTAACCTTTTGCACTGCAGCTTCATTAATCAATGGACCCTGTGAGAAAACTAACATATATGTTAAAATTACAACACTTTAAGCTCAGATAACTTCTATAATAGCAGCTCAAAAACAACTCACTTGCAAATGACAGCAAAAGGGACCAAAAGAGGGTCATATATATATGGCAAAATTCTCAGAACAAATGAGTGAGCAAACCATCTTTGCCAAGCCATATGATGTCATACAGAAGGATATAACAGTTCAAATATTTCTAGCAGCTGTTGCAATAGCATAACCCCCTAAAGACTAAATATGTAGAACACATAATTGCATTACTAGCTTCATACTGATGGGAAAACCAATAAGGAAATTATAATAGAATAACATAAGTACTCAAACAGCTATTCTGATATGCGTGTGTGAATGTATTTATAAATGCTATAAAATACATAAACACACATGTATAGCTAATGATGCCTACCTGTGCCACACCTTCACTAAAGCCATCCCCAACTTGCAAATTTTGAACGGCTCTTGAAAAAGCCTCTGCAAATTTGTCATATATGCCTGGACAAAAAGAGGTTCAGCATCATAAACGATAGCAACAACATATTTCTAAAGGCCAATAGGAACTATTAACTAATAATGGGAAATATAACAAACTGAATTATATTAGAATAGGCCATTTGATAATTTGGATGAGCTCAATAGCTCTAGAAAGAGGGAAGAATCACAAGGTTGATAAACCATATTTTTCCTCTAGTAATTATACAAAAACAGCTGAAAAAAATTCTCTGTACATAAGGCTTAACTACTCAATGTAGTGACAGTTGCCACTGAATGACAATTGACAACTACACATTTTCGTTAACCTGTTATTTAATGGAGGTGTAGACAAGGTATGATACGCTTTGATCATTCTTTAAACATGAAAAATTGCAGTATGTCCTGTGAAAATACACTGCCAGGTTACTCCATATGCAACCTTCCCCCCCACCCCAACAAAACCCGGAAAAAAAAAAAATAGAGAGAGAGAGAGAGAGAAGTGCGGAAAAATAAAGCCAGGTATACAATTCTGTTGCTGTCTGTTTCTACCTTCTTGTACAAGTAATCGATTAGCACAGACACATGTTTGTCCACTATTACGGAACTTCGCTGCAAGCTACAACAATGTGCACATATAGTTATAAAATTAGAAACAAAAACATAACAATAATCTTGCAAGAAAGAAGACCTTAAAAGAACTAAACTATAGCCTTTGGATTGTTAGGAAAATAGTTCAATTCCCATGAATTAAATAATCATTCCAATGTGACCCCCACAGTGGATTATCCTCATTTTAAATGTTGGAATAGGTTTCCTTTATAAGCATCTAAAGCTAGAAATACGGTCTGAACCAAGAGTTGTGTATGTGGCACAGAGCCCTCTTCTCTGACAAGCAAAACACTCCAAAGCTAAGAGGTAGAACAAACCTCTGCTATTCCAACAAAAAAAAGGACAATTCAGCTACTTGATGATGGCATCAACCAAAATGTTGCTTCCTAGGCTGCAAGCACCAAGAATCAGAGTGCATTTCCAACAGCAAGGAAGAGTGAATTTAGTGGATTTTAATAAATGATGCCAACACTAAATAAACCTAAGAATAAACTTAGAAAGTTCCCAGTCAAAAATATCATTGCAGTGCCAATGGTTTTTAGCAACTGGTTGAATTGAGCCATTTTGATAAACCTAAAATCAATGTTGATTACAGTGCCATGATAGGCATAAGTTATTAATAACATAATGGAACCCAAAAATTTCTAGGATGATAACACACAGCCACCACTAATATACTTGGACAACCATTTTAACTTACTGATCCTTTAACCGCCACGTCCAGATCTGCATCATCAAATACTATGCAGGGTGCATTGCCACCAAGTTCTAAAGACACCTAAAGAGATCAAGGGAAAAGGAAATCAGCCCTTAAATGATTTCCAAAACCTAATGATGTATACTCATTTCATGTCAAATTTATACCTTTTTAACAGTTCCAGCAGCACCAGCCATCAACTTCTTTCCCACTGCCGTTGAGCCGGTGAATGTGATCTTCCTTACCTGGGTCAGAGATAACAAGCAAGGACACTTAAGCATTACATTATTTGTCTGTCTACCCAGCCAAACAAGGATATCATATCATGACAACAAATGGCAGAATGATATAAGGGAAAACCTGTGGACTTGAGAGTAAAGCATCTCCAATTTCAGGGGCATTTCCCACAACCACATTTAGAACACCCTAAACGATCAACAAGTACCATTAGGGACAAAAGAAACTAAAAACTCCATAAGTTAACAAATACCAGCAAGTATCATGCATCATTTGATATCTTGAATTCATAAAGAATACAACACTTTAAAAGGCTTGGTTCCTCCTCTTTCACCATAATGCAATGACAATAATGATGTACATGAGCAGATTGTTATCGTTTGACATAAGAGCACAGTTGGAGAAAGCAGAAAACCTCAAAAACCAATCCAATTGTACATTCATATTACCAAAACACACAGAAACTTGTGATTTGACAACCATATTTTGTTTATTCAAGCATCAGAAATATTTACTGCATAACTCCCACAGGAATATTATAGTCGAGCATTCCATTAGTGGCACCAATATTCCAAGCAACCTAATCTTTTAATACCTCCAACATAATAATTGAACTACACCAAATTTAGTCATAAGTAAGTTGAATATTTTGGCTATAATGAAAAAATTATAATTTATGATAATTTATTTATACACAAATTAGTAAAAAGATATGATAAATAATATGCTACTAATAAAAATTGATGTACATATTACTTAATAAAGATTCATAATTCCAGTTGCCATAACCAAATCAAAGACTAGTAGTTTTACAAAAAACTAATTAAACTGAAAAGTTATCCTTCTCTTACAGATTCCAACTTAATTTCCAAATTGATTATCATTATATTCCAATTCCTAGCTGAGAAAGACCTAAATAAATAATGTAACTTCGACAATGCTGTATAGAATTTCAAAGAACAATTACCGGCGGAATTCCAGCCTGAAGAGCTAGCTCAGCTGCTGCTAAGGCTGTGAGAGGTGTAAGTTCAGAGGGTTTTACAACCACTGTACAACCACAAGCAAGGGCAGGACCAACCTGCGTGTACAAGGAAAAAAATGCATTTCTTCTTATACACCATCCAAAAAAACCAAAACCATGTATAATTATCCTAAGCTGAACACACCTTGCGAGTAATCATGGCCAAGGGAAAGTTCCAGGGTGCAATTGCTCCAACAACACCAACAGGCTGGAAGAAAATGTGAACCCATTATGATAGAGTATCAAGATAACACAGTTTGCCTTGGAACAACTGGCATTCAGAAACTAATAATGCCAACCAAACAGCTTTGAAAAAGACTGAATCACCCACCACTATTGCAAATTTTTTCAAACCACCAAGACTTAAATCAACATGGAACCTTGAAATTCAATAACCATACAAGATAACAAGTTAATAAACAGCTCAATAAATATTCTTTTACATGATAGAATATAATTTACATGAAAAAAATGATTATTTAAAAATATAAGTTATTTAGACATATTTTGCCATTTTTCACAGATTAAATTTGATTAAATTTTATTATTATTACTAATCAATTAAAATGGATAAAAAATTGAATTTGGATATATTGTACATGGCCCATAGTGTAAAGAAAATGTTCATTGCCATCCCAGAAACTAGACACTTATTAACCCCACTGAACTTCTAAAAATTTAGAGTCTTGTGATAAACTATATTGCAGTTATGTTATTAATCCTATTAAAAAATAAATCTTGCCTTAGTAAATTATAATATTTCAAAAGTTACACCCATTAAAGAATAACTTTAAGTATGAAGTTATTTTTTAGTGTACAATTTTATATACTGAAAACTTACTGACATGTATTTAAAAAATAAAAAATAAAAAAAAATAGAGAGAGAGGGGCCTCATTTCAATATCTAAATAACTTGAGTTGTCTTAATAAGCAAATAGACATTGACAATTTATAAAATGATAAATTAAAAGCCAGTAAAAAAATAACATCAGTTTTTTTTTTTTTTAAAAAAAAATAAAAAAAAAATAAAAATAAAAAAAAAGAAGGAAAGAATTATACAGTTTTCTTAAATTAATTAATTACAACTTTTTCTATAGACCCACTTATCTAAAATCCTAGTTGTGCCGCTAACAAGTCATCTCATCTTATCTTTTTTATTAAATTCAAATACTACAGGATAAATTAAGTAAAATAGTGAAAGTAAAAATTAAATAAAATTAAGGGAAAGTAGAGGAGTACATAAATAAAAAAAGAAGGACAAATGATATGAGAGGGGAAAAATTAATAAATAATAATAAAAATTATTCTTTGATAAATTTTTAATAAACAAAATATTTTAAAGCTTGCAGGCTCAACAAAAAAACTCCAACCTTATTTAATTCACAATCATTAGAATTTACCATGTGTAATTATAATAGTTATTATGAATTAATGGGGAAAACATAGGGGAAAAATTAATAAATAATAATAATAATTATTCTTTGATAAATTTTTAATAAACAAAATATTTTAAAGCTTGCAGGCTCAACAAAAAAACTCCAACCTTATTTAATTCACAATCATTAGAATTTACCATGTGTAATTATAATAGTTATTATGAATTAATGGGGAAAACATAGGGGAAAAATTAATAAATAATAATAATAATTATTCTTTGATAAATTTTTAATAAACAAAATATTTTAAAGCTTGCAGGCTCAACAAAAAAACTCCAACCTTATTTAATTCACAATCATTAGAATTTACCATGTGTAATTATAATAGTTATTATGAATTAATGGGGAAAACATAGAAAAGCAAACAGCCTAAAAAGAACTGGCAGTTGGAACACAGTAAAACCATTACCGTATCAACAACTCCACCAAAAGACCCTATCAAGGGCCATCTGTTGAAAGCTAAAAAAAAAAAAAAAATGGGAACAAAATGACTTTCTAGATCAAAAGTAAGAAAGGAAACTTCAAGGACACAACTACCTCAGCAAAGAGATACCGATAAAGTCAGAGGAAGCCAACTTCTCTCTTGCTTGGTCTCCCTTCTAGTAGTTTTTGAAGATTTTATTCAATAGTATCATGCATAAATACTCACAGTTGGCAATTAAGGACTTTTCTATGGAAAAACATACTAGTATCACATGAGGTCCAAATAATTAAAAACGAGACTTCTTTACATCAATGTTGTGCGAGATTCAATCCCACAAGCAAAGGATGTAAGGTAGGTGAACATCTCTACAATCCTAGGTATCTCCATTGCTCACTTGTTCTAAGGTTTGGAAATCAAGTTTTTCTTTCCCTTTTATGGGGCTAAACCATTCCCAATACCTCAATCTTTACGAATTGTTACAATTGCACCCAAAATTAACTTTATACCCCTCAGACGGGTAAACCATTATTTATACCCCAAACTTTGCGAATTGTCACAATTACACTCTAAAATCAACTTAACCCCTCAGATACCCTGTTTTGGTATTTTTGTCAAAATTGCGCCCAAATTTAATTTTGGTCAAATTACACAATATAGTAATATTATATGTGGGACCCGCTGTCTCTTGTTGAGTTCACTTAACCAAAGGACGGTTAAGCGAAACATTGCATTGGGCTTAAGGAAAAAAGAAAAACCCCAACCTACTCAAATCCCCATCTTCTCATCAATTAAACCCCATCTCTCCTTCATCCATCAAGTGAGATTTTCTTCTTTGAATTTATCAAAGATAATAGCTACTCTCAAGTGAGTTAACACAGCCTTTTCCACTATAACTTCCCTTTAATTCGGTCAATATCGCATTGTAGCTTTAATCAGAAACCTAATCACTTCTTAAAATCTCCCATTTCTGATGCTTAGAGCTGAAGAGCAAAGACAGCTGCAGCTTGTGAGAACAAGAAGAAATTGATGATGAAGAGGACTTGTTTGTAGTTATAAGATACTTCCATTCTCCACTGTTTTCCACTTCTTTTTGGAATTTTTGCTCGCCTAGAGTTAATTTCATTTTTGTTTGAAAAATTTTTAAGTGACTCGCTGGTTTTGTTTGGAAAGTTTGACTTATCACTGTATTTGTGATGCCAAAATTGCAACTAGAATCTTAGCAGTTCTATTTTGCAAGACTTCGAGTACAATATTACCATTCATGTTCTTCGATTCACCATTGTTGTGATGTTTCCCTTTTGTTCTTTTTTTGAAAAATACATCAACTGGAAATTATTTCCTGCTAAAAAATTTTGAGTAATCTCTTAATCCTGGAAAATGACTTATGATTTGTCTTGCGTATTAATTTTTAGGATTAGAAGATGTATATTGATCTTCATTTCCATAGATCTTTCATTTTTTATTTGTTTTATTTATGATTAATTATCCGATATTCACTGGTTTGTTGAGCGCTTGATACGATATCACACATGATGAATTGGTTTCTCCTTAGCAAATTTCACTTCAATTTATCAATACATTGAATATTTTTTGGATATTTTATTTTCATTTTGTTTATAACGTCTGCTTTTTTTGGTGATTTATCAAGGAATCAATGCTGTAGAGATGGGTTTAATCGATGAGAAGAGGGGGATTTGGGTGGGTTAGAGTTTTTTTATTTTTTTCTTAAGTCCAATGCGCCGTTTCACTTAACCGTCCCCTGATTAAGTGAACTCAACAAGAGACAGCGGGTCCCACATATAATACTATTTTATTGTCTAATTTTGACCAAGACCAAATTGAGGCGCAATTTTGACAAAAAAAAAATAATAATAATAAAATACAGTGCCTAAGGGGTTAAGTTCATTTTCGGGTGTAATTGTAACACCCCCCCCCCCCCCCCAAAAAAAAAAAGAACTATGATTGAAACAAATGACAAGAGCACTGCAATCGCTATGGAATCACGAGTTTCAGGATTGGAGAGATTATTTATTGCAGTAGCGAAGTAAGCAGACGAACTAAGAGTGATTGACTTGGTGGAGACCATAGAGGGGATGGTCATGGTTGTGGCCAGGAGGTGGTGGTGCTGGGATTTGGAGGTGGAATAGTGAGACGAGAGTGGTTACCACAAGGATCTGTTAAAAACCTCCAATTGGGCAAGTTACTGGTTCATCACCAAGGCAAAGCAAAAAATAAACAAACAAAGAAGTTGGGGCAAGTGGGTTGCCAAGCTCTAAGAACCCACAAAGCAAACAAAGCAAACCCCATCTGCAATTCCGATAGTCATGGCTTCAAAACCAAGATCTTGATCTACGATTCATCCACAACCAGAAAACAATGTTTGTTAATAGAGAAACCCTAGATTCTATCTTCCCTGTTCCATTCAACAACTATAGATCTTTTCACATGAACAACAATACCTCTTCTCCTCTTTCCTTTCTCTTCCTCTACAAAGAATGGGTCTTACATGCCCAAGTTCTTCAAGGTAACTGTTTCTTCTGTTAATTTCCATTAGTTCAATGTTTTGATAAATCGATAGTGTGAAAGATGATGCCAGTCATGTAATAGAGAGGAGAGAGAATAGATTGCAAGGGAAGCATAGCTTCAAACGGTGCATTTTCTAAAAGCTCTCTCATGTTGGATTAGCTAACTGATGTAGGTCTTGCATTTATTATTTTGTAATTTCAATTGACCAATTTAGTTTTTAAGGTGCAATTTTGACATAAGTTTGAAATTAGGGTGCTTGGAGGGTTAAGTTCATTTTGGGTACAATTGTAACAACTCGTAAAATTTGGGGTATGGAGAATGGTTTAGCCCCTTTTATGGAAAGAATCATTAGTTCTTTCTCTAATATTTTTTGCCTTTTATGGTATTGTTACCCCCAAAAAATAGATATGAATGTCAGACATTAAAACACAATCAGAAGCCAAACAGTTAAGGGAGATAAATAAAGGAGAAACAGAAGACATATGCATTAGGAGCCAAACAACTAATAGAAGCAACTAACTCATATATGATAAATGGAATTTAAACATTAATTGACAACACTCTCACCTGCTTTAGGACCAACAAACGACGATCACCAAGAGTTGGCGGTATTATGTCACCATATACACGTTTTGCCTCCTCTGCAAAGAACTCAATGAAACTGGCTCCATAACTAACCTGTTATTTTAGTCTCATGGTCACATATTGAAAAATGCCAATATTGACAAAATTTTAGCCTAAAATAAATAATAATGATAAGAAGAGTTAATAACAAAATCAAGACAGAGAGATAAAGACTATTCTAAATTTCTCAAGTAAAAGTTTGAGTGAAATACCTCACCCATGGCTTCTTTTAGAGGTTTTCCTTGCTCTAAGGTTATTAGTTGTCCAAGCTCTTCTTGGTGGGCAATTAGTAAGTCATACCTTGAATAGACATGAGGAATAATCATACGAATATAAGTTGACCATTTAGAACCACAAATCATAATAGTTTTAATATGGCTAAATTTTCAACTATTGCCTCATTTGGAAGTCTTCATAAATCATGATTAAAAGGATATACTACAGATCATACCATGATTTTAAACGTTTGCTCCTATCTGCAGCAGTGAGCTTGCTCCAGGCTGTTCAAATAAAAAGATCATCAATGTACTGAATTTACAGAATAAATTTCCAAGTTCATCATAAGTCGTATTCCAATAATCCATAAATACTCTGAAACCTCATCCAATGCTAAACATGGTGGCATCTAAGTATGCAAATTAAATAAAGCTAAAATATTTTATACCTTTTTTTCATCACTATTGACATCTACTATGACTATAAACTAGTTAAAATAGAGATGGAAACTGTAAACCGGTATGGTACAGACACCAGAAAACAGCATTCTCAAAAAATATAGGAAATGTAAACTTGGAGAAAATGTGTAAATACAGAAAGTATACCTTATAAACTATTAAACAAAGCTACTAGAAAAAAGGATAAGAGGAATGGAACAACGTAGTCAAGCTTAGGCAGGTTTTTGAATAAGAAAATGCCTAAAGTGATATAAAATATCTGTAGAGAATCTTGGAATTTTTCTTTTTGAATAAAAATACTACAAAAATTCCTAATGTCTACTAAATGCCTAATTGATTCAACAATTTCTAACCGGTAATATCTGGGAGTCAGAGCTGTAAATAGTAGTAGTCAATCAATAATAACTATTCAGTAAAACATTATTACGCAGTGCTGCAAATTTGGTAAATGACTATTACATATATATATATAAATTTAGTGTTAAAATAAATACTCTAACTAAAACCTATTTAAATTTTATTATTGTATTTTTTTTTTTATTTTAGTCATGAATCTTGAAGAATCTATGCATTTCATTTAAGAAAATTTATTTTTAAATATAATTTGAGTTAAATAGGTTAAAATTTAAAAATATTATAAGTAGGTTAAGTAGGTCGTATACAGGTTAATCAACCCACTTAACCTGTTTATGATATTAGGCAGGTTACACGGGTTGTATATGGGTCAACACACCCACTTAGCATATTTATGATATTAGGCGGACTGCACGTGTCGTGTTCGGATCACCTGCCTATATGAATGACCAATCCAAGCATAACTTATGATATTTTTTTTTATTATAGTTTTTCAGAATCAACAGCTGTGGATGTTTTATTTTTACCAAAAACATCGAACTACCTTTGAAGGCTAAATAGCTATCAACTAACTCCCAATGGTTAAAACAAACACCACAAAATAGAGCAATTAAGTGACTAATTTAAAACAGAGAACACAAAAGAAACTCCACTGAACAATGAAAGATCAACTTCTATTAAAGATTCTTTTTCTAAATACTACCACTATCTACTTCTCTTTAATAGAAAAAAATACAATAAAAACTTAAATATCAAAATCAAGGATTACATAAAAACAATATCGAAATTTTTCCTTCCAATGCACGTCTCGCAGAGAAACAAATGGATCTAGAAAGGAGATCTAATAAACTCCAAACAAAAGGATAATGCAATGGATGTGTTTTGGAAGGCTCTCATTAAAGCACAAGCTACTCATGGTCTTAAGCACAAAAAATGGCATTTCTAAAGTTCAAAAAAAACAAGAGAAATGCAAGTGGGAGAGAGAGAGAAAAAGGCAAGAATATATTTTGAGGATCATGAGATGGAGTCAAACAGGAGGCATTTGGAGCTGAATTCTACTGTCTTTGTTGGCATATGATAAAGGAGTTATACCAGCACTATTGATCTAGTCATTGATGGCATCAGTCACAATTTTATCACCAAGATTCCCAAAGCAATGCCCTCAAAAAAATCACAATATGAAGACTCTATAGGAGATTGCATGCATGCTTTAGGATACTTTATGCTTTTATAAACATCATATGATTTTGTTTGTCAAAAAAATAGTCTAAATACCATATGTTTGAAGAACAATAAACGTAAGCTGAGGATGGATTATAATAAAATCATACAATGAAATGCATCATTAGCAGAAGCTATTGCATCACTTGTCTCCTTCCCACCCATGCATGGGACATCTGCTATAACATCACCAGTTGCTGGATTGTAAACCTGTCATCAGATGAACCATGTATTACAAGCAAGCATATAAAAGAACAGGCAAAACAGCAGGGGGAAAGAAAAAAAGGTAATTCAGTAATATGAATGCCTATGCTTCACAAGCATGATTCAGGGAGGAGTTCATATTTTTCAATACCATAACGACAAGCAGCCATTAGTTTTTTTCTCCTTCCTCCTCCTTTCTGAAATACTATAATTTGTTGTTTTACCTTTTAGAATTTATTAATATCTATAAAGAAGTTCAAATTGAGGTCACACTACAAACATACAGAGACACAAATAAAAATATATATGTACACACGCCAAGATATAAGTGAACAGCATGCTTACACCTATTATAGTGAAAAGAAGCTAAGCCAATGAGTTAAAACTTAGGCTTAAAACAAAACTTGGAATGTCACGGAAACATTCTTTTTAAGAATTTATTATATCCACAAAATAAGCAGAAACTAAATCACATTACAGCAACATAGGCACAAATGAAAATTTATGCACACACACAGACACGAATATACCAAATGCTTACCCCAGTTTTACCATAACAAGCAACCTCAAGGACTTGAATTGTAGGTCCAGAATACTGAATGTCATTACTAGAACATTTTGTGGTAATAGGTCATGCAATTAGTGTGCACACTGACATCAAGAGAGCACAGCAATCAAAGAAAACTCTAGGGGAGAGCACACCTGAATTGTCTTCCCATCATATGCATTAGTCCATTTCCCTCCAATAAGACACTGGCTCCGTAACAGACCAGCAGTTCTGAGCCGATCAACAAGACCACCTGCCTTCATGCTTATCTAAAACCCAAATTATTTAACTAGAATTAACTTGTTTAAAAACTACATACGGGGAAAATCGTAGACATTTGGTAAAACTGCTAATATAGCAATCAATATATTCTGTAGCAGAAAACAATCTAAAGTTATATGTACATCTATATGAACATTTGTGTCAAATTTATATGAAGAAATACCAGCAGGCCATGAACAAACTAACAGAAAATCTATTCATCCCTTAAATTTTAATTCAGCTATTTATCAGAATCAGAAGTTATACAAATGGAAATTGGATTGAGATTGCGATATTTAGATAGAGAGATGATGGTCACTTAATAATCTGAAGTGAGAAACATGCGAAGATACAGAGACAGAAAGAGAAAAGGCAATTACTTGGCGAGAGAGAGGAGGAGAGGCGATGTGCATGGAAGCCAAATGTAAAGAAGGGAGGAGCTTGTTACGCCCAATGGCTGCCATACGTGCCACCATAGCTGCCTTCATGTCTTCTCTGTTTTTTTTGTTTGTTTCACTTTGTTCGAAATAAATCCATATTGCCTGATCGCAGTCTGACTTATTAAAGCGACTGCGTTCAAGAAGAGTGTTTGGATATGCTTACAACTGTGTTCTAGATAGGAATGGAAAAATCAAACTGACCCGATGGGTACGTGCCTAATTGAACCAGTCAAATCCGAATTTTATGGTTTTGACTGAATTTAAATAAGGTATGGGTAAAATATAAAAGTTTTATTTTGGATACGAGTAAGGTTTGGATATATATATATATATATATATATAAATTAAGGCACAAAAACTTATGTGGCACAATTCTTAAGTATTAAGATGTTTATGTAGAAAAAAAAATAATTTATTAAGTTGAAAATAATGTTTATATTTTTACAAATTATTTTTAATATAATTAATATGGAAGTTTATTGATATCATTAATAATGGTTTCTTTTTAAAATAATTAATTAAATTAATAATATTATTATTAATATTTTAAAAACTTTTCATTTTTTTAAATAATTAATATTTAATCTCTTCATTTTCCTTTTTTCACCGTTATAAAATTTTTGCAGATATCTATTTGAATATAAATGAAACCTTAAAGAAAATGAAATCATATTTTCAACAAAAAGAAACGAATTTTTTGCAAATAATATAATAATATTTTCATGGCATTTTATTGATGTGTACATAATCAACGTGATGAAGATAATGGAATTACAAAATATATTCAGTTTTCGATGATTGACTAAGGTATAATTTTGTGATTTATAAAGAGAAATTATAGTATTTCTCAGCCTATTCCAAATCAAGGCAAACTTCAATGAAATTTTTTTTAAAAAAATTTAATGGTTATTAAATTTATGCCTAGATTTTAGATTATTTATTAAAAATGAATTCATTAACTGATATTTAAAAAGATTATTGTAAAATCTATTAAAATATTATAAAGATAACAAATTTTAAGCTTAATATAGCTTGATTTATATATGTATATGTCAATATATTGATTCTTCTGCAAGAATATGGGAAAAAATGATTTTATTTCATTTTGTGGAACATTAGTTAGTATAATAAATTGGATATTCATATTTTTAAAAATAATTATTAGTTATAATAAAAATTGTATTTTTATTTTTAAACAGTATATAATATTCGCACGCGAAGCGCAAGAGCACGACTAGTTACTATTATAAACACCAATTCGATCTCGTAATCGAAATTCAAACCTCGATAAATTTAAAATATTATTCTTTTAAATTATAATAATAAATTTTTAATAAATTGGGTTACTTGTAATAAATTATCTATATGAATTATAATTTTATTTTTAATTTAATGTAGTGTTGTGGAAATTAACTTCACTATAGTTTTCATATATTAATTTGAATTGGTTAAATTTATAAAATTTTAGATTTTCAAATTTACTTGTAATTTCTAATATTTGATTTAAACTTCAATTTCAAATAATGAAAAAAAAAATAATGATAATAGTGATTTGGAGTGTGTATATAATATGTAATATTTTATGTTTAGTGATTTTGTTATATGAGTTTTTTAGTTATTATATTTTTTTGATTTTTGTTATAATTATATTTTGAGAGTGCTACCATTTCATTTGAGTGAAACATTATGATAAGAAGAACAACTTTAAAATTAGAATTTTAATTTATGATTTTTGGAACATTTATTTATGTATTAATTTATTGGCGTCCATCGATAATTAGCGACTGCTTCATCGGTTGCTAATATTGCAAATGTGGGCTGAATCAATTTATCTCATTATTGACAAAGTAGTAGCTAATCAGTCGTTAAAATTAGCAGTAGCTATTCCATCGATATTTTTGTCGCTGATTCGGTCGCAAAGTGGTTGCTGTATTTGTCTCCAATTAATTTTTAAAATATAGTCAATCATCGCTCATCATCGCTATTTCATTTTTGGAATAAAAAAATAAAATTAAAATTTTTGACAATAAAAATTTTTCACTTGTAAAAAATGACAATACATGCTAATTCAAGTACTCAAATAATTGCAGGAATGAAAAAACTACTAAATTATAAAATAAAAAAAAAACATTGTTATTAAGATGTGAAGATATTTGTACAAGTTATACTGTAATATATACAAAATAAACATGATAATAAAATATTGGATCTGAATGCAAATATATGCCTTCACTCTGTGATGCATTGGACTATCAACCCAAACTATTGTCAATCCGGGTTTCACCATGATATACCCATTGATAATAGTTGTCTACGTACCCATTTTTGCATAAATGGAGCTTCACTATTTCAACATTATAAAAGCCCTATTTTTGTACTTTTTAAGATTGCATGGACACCTTATTTTTCCTCCATCCATACATCATGAATTACTGATTGCAAACTGAATGAAGGACTCTAGACCCTCCACGAAACCTGTCACGACCCATTTCCGCGGGTCGGACCGACACTAGGACCTGGGTGGGCTTAAGGCCCCCGAAGCCCGTAGTAAGCCTATATTACTTAAGATTCGCATTCTATTCACAATTGTGGATTCAAGCCCAATAACTTATTTTACAAATATATCCAAAGTACAGTCTATATAGTGAGTATCTGTTACTCTATTTATTCATTTACAACCCATTTGGAATACAATTGCGAAACTCTACTTTTACATTTACATTGATATTTCAATTATTAACGGTCTTCTATAAATAATGTGTCAACTCCATAAGGCCTTTCTTTCTTTCTATTACCTGAAAAAAAAAATAGTAGGCAGGGATGAGCGCCAAACTCAATGAGTAGGGTTAGATAACCTCTCACCCCACACAATCACACAAATCCCTTAATTTATTAAGTTTTCCTACCGCATCCACATTCCTTTCCCCATTCATTCTCATTTATGATTTAAAGTTATTCGTCATCTTCGACATTCATTTTCTTATAATAGATTTATGAACTTAGTCTAGCCCTTTAAGTATCCCACATGTGCTAGGATCTTAATTATATAATGTCTAATAAATTTATTACAACTAAACTTTCACCTTATTAATTTTTAGATTATACCAACTATCCCTTAGTTATTCTTCATTTCTTTTCGTAGATTCTCACATTAAATTCATGTGATTATTCCTGGCCTGTATACTCCTAATAGACTATTTAGGCAATCGTTTCCAGTTTAATTCAATTTTTAATGCATATTTGTTATAAGTTTGCTATACTTTAAGCTTGAGTTAATAAATAGTCTTTCTCTAGTTATTCAATTTCTATTACGCATTCTTTATGACACTGTATAATTTGCCAAGCAAACACTTTGAATGATTTGATTTATAATCAAATAGATTTATTTAACGTAATAGTTATGACTTTCTTTCTTATCAGAATGAAAAATTGTTTCAAAATTTTAAGAAAAATTCTCTTGTAACTCCCATTGTCTATAGTATCATAGGGTTATTCAAACTCACTCTGTCAGTTCTTTTTATACAAGTTCTATTCGTCTTATAATATTTTTATCGTATGCTTACGCAAGTATTTAAATAGCTCATTTACTAAGGACATCCCCATACTAGTAGTTATCTTACTCTATAGGGATCTCCACACTCTCTATTTAATCGTCGTCCTTACGCCTAACATTTATTCCTTAAATTATCTTAACATGTATCATTAAAAGTTGACTTTTATAATAACCTCTCATTTCACTTATGTTGCTTATTAATTCATCTTAAGGATATTGAAGCATACTTATTTTATTCAGAAATTGCAAATTAAGCTTTAGAGTGTACCGATTGAAAATCAAGTTTTATTTCCATGATCCGCACGAAGAGGAGAGCATTCTGCCTCTTGAAGTCTCGCCAGAGTCTCGCCGTCCGGTCGCCGAACTGCCGCCGCCGCCGCAGCCGTGCACGGTGGCCGGAAAAGTCAAATCTTCACCAAAATTAACAAACAATATATCATTTTATTCGTTTCGATGAGAGGATCGGTTCGATGAAGCAGGATCACTAAATATGTTATTCAAATCAAGGGTGGGTATGAACTATTTGGCCCGGAATGTTGACCGGATAAGCGTTCGGTGATACCATTTTGTGTTTTCCTCCGATCTGGCTATTATAGTCGACGAGGAGGCCATTCAAAATGAAAGAGGAGATGAAAGAGGAAGAAGAGAGGAGTCATTTGGTACTCACCTTGCGCTCTAGGCTTGCCTGAAATGGCGTGAATCGCCGGAGAAAGGTGTCGCTACGGTGCCAAAACTTCAAGCTCTTCCCTTTCAAAATAGATGCTGTTTTAGTTCAAGTCAAAGCCATATTCTTCTTCCTTGCATTGAGTAGAGGTTTTTAGAGTATCCATTTGCCAGATTTGGTGGCCGGAGGACGGAGATCGAAGGAGAGGGAGGAGGAGGAGGAGGTCGCGCAATCCAAGGGAAGGAGAAAAGAAAAGAAAAAAAAAGAGAGAAGGCGTTTCTAGAGGGTTCTGGGCCATTCCGGTTCGATTCGAATCGATTTGGTTCAACTCAACGATTTAGCTCAATTTTTGTTTGATTATCTGGTTTTTCTCCTGGTTTTAAGAAACTTTACGTCGATTTACAGTTCCTATTTATCAACAATTAACTATTTACTGAATAACCCCATTTTAGTCTTTCTAATTTGATTTATTTAATTATTTTAATTAAATTTAGGATTACTAATTGGTAAATATAATTTTATTATTATTTTAAGTGGTCCAATATCTTTTCGTGGTCCAATATCAATTCTAAGAAGTTTAAATTATTTTCGACTAGAATTCCGATACTTGTTTTGGGCTTGAGTCCAAGCTTCGCATTTAGGCCAGATTAAAATTACTACTCGGCACTTAAGCCCATACAAGTCCAAATTCAGACTTTTTGATTTATTAAATTCAGATTTTTGATTTATTAAAACTTCAAAAGTTTTGAAAATAAAAATTCAGGATATTACAATCTCCCTCCCCCTTAAGACAATTCGTCCTCAAATTGAATATAATAGGTAAGAATGAGAATGGACGCATGGGGAATTTTAACGTTATAAGAAATTGCTTCCAGAACCAAGGAGA